TGTTTGCCTTTCCCAGGGAGGGATTCTCTTCTGTTAGCCAGGTAGAGAAGCACTGTGATGGTGAAATTATAGGTGAAAAAAGCTTGCTTGGATTGTGCTTGAAGGTCAGTTACAAATACTGCATCGTTTGTGTTAGCAGTGAACTTATGGGGGTCAACACCATTGTGTTTGTTCAGTATTTTCATTAGTATCTGGCAGAAGAATGGAAAGCAGGCTCAGGATAGGGCCCAAGCTGAAGGACACAGTCATGCCAACACAAAAACAGTGGATGTTACTCTGGGATGCATGAGCAAGACACAAAATTATTCTTCTCACTGTGGGGGAGGCTCCACCTGGTATCTGGTAGGCACCACTTCTCACTGAACCTACAGATGGGCTGAAGGACATCCGAAGAGCAGTGATGGGAGATGCAGCTGGTATGTCCCATGGGTAAAGATAAAGTGACCCTAGGCCTAGTGAAAGGTGGAGATTGAAAGAAGCACACTGATCACCCTTAGTTATGAAAAAACCCCTTAGCACAGAGTGAGAGTCATCTTCTTCCTCCACCTGTGGCAGAAAGAATGGATAGACAGCAAGGAGAAGCCAGATAGACCTGAGGACCATTTTTCTGATGGTATATGGATAATCAGGTACCAGAGAATTGGCCTGGGGAAGCCATGAAGCCTCTGCAAGCAGAAGTTTGTCAGTGCAGGCTGGACAGGCACCTGCCAGGATGTTTGTGAAAGCAATAAAGTGTTTATAATTAGTCTTATTCAACAGATTCCCACAGTTTGCATGTGCTATTGCTGTCTGCATGTAATAGCCACCAGAACATTCTCATGTCACTGACATTGTAGACACAGTTTAATCTGTCATGCACAAAATTCAGCAAGTATTTGATTTATTTTGTCTGAGGAGCAGACACCCCATATAAATACATGAACACATGTTTAGACTTTATTTGCAGCACAACTGAAAAGCAAGGCTGAAATCTAAACTCGTTCTGGGATTATGTTCCTGCCTGTTTGTTTTGGCATAAGATTTTGGGGTCTGGAAGAGAAGGATGGGTAGCAAGGGGGAGGATCTGTTTTAAAAACATATGTAAGGCACCCAGCAGGAGCTGCTGGTAGCAAGGCCAGAGGGAGCTGTGGGAGGATGGGGGTTGATGTTCCACCAGCCCTTCAGCCCCTGCTGCTGGCAGGGGCTCACTTACATGGGAATGCACTGCACAGCCTAAGGCAGTGGCCAGAACTCAGTCCTCTCTCATCCTAGGAGGAAAAGCAGCCTCCCATTTGGAGAGCCACACCAAGGTCCTGGAATCATGCAAGCTCAAGCACTCAGGTTAGGTCTTGAAATCCACCCAGCTCTGGGGTTTCTTTGGAAAGGTCTGACACTGAGAGGGAGAGGTCTGCCAGGAAGGAGTGCACATTTGGTTTCCATTTGCAGGTTGAGTGTTAAGAAAAGCCCCTCAATCTCTTCAACAGGCTCGGATGGAAAAGGAAAGAAAGATCCCCTTGACTAGCATAGTCTCTGTGAGAGAAAGGATTGAGCCATCCAGGTGTTGGTTTTCACTTAGTGTTTTGCTTAGTACTTTTTCAGTCAGATCCTTGCTAAATGCTGTAAGAAACACCATTTTAGTGCAAGCTACAAAAATCTCATTTTATTTTCACTTGGTTTTGCTAATAATCTTCCATACCAACACGCATGTGTGGGTATTGTATTTCCTTTCAGTATATCTGGTAGCACTTGGAGATCTATAATGTGTGCTGGCCTTCACTGTTTATTGCTAAGCCACAATTCCACCTCTTCCATTCCAAAGTGGAGTTTGCTCCCTCCGTGGGTACTAGTCCTGAGAGAAAATCAGGGTGCTGTTTTCAGTTTTCCCTTCTCCACACACACACACAGAAATACATCTAAATTCCAGTAATGTATTTTTTTTTTGCTTTGATTTCAAAGATTACCACAGACCTCACTTTGATAATGTGCAATGTTACCAGAAAACAACCGAGAAAAAAATTCAATCCAGCAGTATGCAAATACTACTCAAGAGAATAATCAGCCAAAAATGAAAGCTTCTCCCTATGACTCTATCATTCTTCATCTCTCTCTGAACCTATAGTGAGTGTCTTTTGCTGTGTGTACACAATTCAACAGAACCCTTGTGCTTGTTCCTTATTGTTTTGTGAAAGACATCACTTTCCGTGCAAGAAGCATAACCTCTTCTGCAGATCATCTTAATTACTGGAACAGTGTTTGTCTTCTCCATGAAAATAACAATTTGATTTTTCTTCTGTATGAATCTGATTTTTATAATTCCCTTGTGATCACTTAACATTGTAATAACTAAAATATGTAAAGTGGTATTAACGTTTCCTAAGGTTAAATTAACAGATTAATATTTTACCTTTCCCTAGTCAGAGAAATCTCAGCTAAATACTCCCCCACCAGTTGTTCACTTCCCTGTCTGTCTCAGTTAAAGGGAAAAAAAACCCTATGCCTTCTTCTGTATGGTCTCCTATGTAACTGCATAGTTAAGAGTCTCCCTCATTCTTCATCTCTTGATTCTGCTTTTAAGTGCCTCTTCTCAATTCCCTTTTAAATCCTACTTCCCTGCTACTTCCATGAGTAATGCATTTTAAGGTGCAGAGCTAATTCAGCCTATCTACATTTTCCCTATCACCTTTACCTCTATGAGCAAAGGACAGAATGTGGTTAAAGAGTGTATGTTGTTATTTTTACCAGAAAGAGTGTAAAAGTGGAGTACCTACTGTGTTACAAAAGGCATTAAACACACAGGTTTTCTGTGATTGTCAGGACAGGTCCAGTAACACTTCATGACAAATTTGGATGCAGAAATCTTAGACTTTGATACCTTTAGTGAGCGAGAGAGATTTAAAGGTGGAAACCACAAGAGAGTAATTGATGCTAATGCGTGCCTCAGCTGAGTATTGCTAGAATCATATGGATGACATGTTAGTTACTTATATCCCACATTATCAACAAAATCACATTGATCTGATTATTAATCAGTGGAGATGTCATGCCAGCACAGAGCAAGAAATGCTATTTGCAAGAAGATGTGATGGAGCTGCAGTTTTCCTGTGTACTTTTGACTGTGACCAAGCAGTCTAACACTTTTCTTGCTGTAGAGTTTTTCTGGCAACTGTAATAGATACAGAAAAAAGCATAACCCCCAAATCATCTACCCCTTTGCAAAGCTGTTGAAGCACTCTGATCCTTTGTGAGGCAGTCCTGGGGAGCCAGCACCCAGTCCAAGCTGTGCACCCAAGCTTTGGATGCGATGCATGGAGGCTATTAGACACCTCCAAAACAGGCTTTACAAAAGCTGACACTATGGTAGCTAAGAGGAAAGGCTGGAGAGAAGGCATTAAGCCTAAACCCCATGGAATTTACGCTTTGCTCGAGGCCAGACTCGCAGCAAAGCATCTCTGAGGAGCTGGCACAGCATCAGAGCAGAAATCTGTGCTACAAAAAAGAGAGGAGGAAATCCTTCTCATTTTCCCCCACTCTTCTAACACCATGCAATGATTAGGGCACTTAAGCTGGGTGTCAGAGTCTCACTTTTTACAAATGACATTAGGATTTTGTGGCTCCATACCCTGTGGCAATGTCTTAGTGCCATGGGAAATACCCTGATCTGACAGCCTAAGGCATGCAGGCCTCCAGGACCAGCCCTGACTGAAAGTGGAGAGGAACAGGTGTGGATTTTATGTATGTATTTTTGTCACCAGGGCATAAATTCCCTGTGCTGGAGACATAAGTATGTTATAAACATACATGTAGGAGTGCTCCATTGTGGTTTCTGCCTCAGCTGGGAGAGTCATTGTCCGGGTTTGTAAGATTGAGTAGATTAAGTTCAAGATACCGCCAAAGGAAAAGGGCAGAAAAAAAACATCTCAGGACCATAGCTAGGAGCTGGACTGTGAAAATAGATAAATAAAGAGTCAAGTTTCGATGCTCATTGTGGTGGGGATCTTGTCTGAGGATCTTGGCAGGAATACACGAACAACTGTTACTCAAAAAAATAACACCACTTTCAATTGTGCAGGTTTGGGGAGCAAAGATCTGATTAATTGTGTACTCTTAATGCAGGAAAACCAAACAGTAGAGGGGAGAGTTAAGTGTGAGACCCTGGTAACCTGAGACCCTGGTTAAGGAGATCACAGTGTGGGGCACTGAGAACTTGGGGTGGAGACCTTGCTTGAGAGGAGGCATCTGGTAGAAGGCAGAGCAGAAGGCCAGGCTGCTACAGCTGCCAGCAGCCACCCAAGTACAATGAATGATCAGGGTTTAAAATGCATTCCTTGGCATCCCAGGCATTTGGAAAGGACTGTATTTAAGGATCTACTCTTAGCCCATCATCAACTAAAACTAAGATGTGTCTTAATAATGTGCTAAAATATTGTCTTTCTCTGGTTATGTCATGATTTTATTGTGCTGCTTGGGACAGGGGAGGCAAGCTGTAAAATGTGTGGATGGGACACAAAACCCAGTGAAGTTGTTTGGGGATGAGGATGCCTCTTACCACAGCTCTGTGGAGAACTGCAGTCGCTGTGTGCACCAGGGGAGTTGAAGCTACTTAAACCAGGGCTAAGACAGGTGAGGAAGCCTAGTACCCATAAAACCTGGTGCCCGTCTTTTCATTAACAGCACACTGGAGGCAGGACAGACTCACTAAGGATGGAAATCAGTTATCCCTGCTGCCTGGGGAGAGCCTCACTGCACGTGACCTGACTTACTCCAAACCCTCCAGGTTTGGAGGATGTGTCTTTCTGTTAAAATATCACGTGGTGCTTCAGTAATATTTTCTATCCTGTCAATCTACAGCCTAAGAAACAGCCATGTATCTATGTAGAGGACTAAAAGCTGGAGTCACCTCACTTGTTTTCCTCCAGGCAGCAGAGACCCTTATCTGAAACAGGCTATGAACCTGCCCTTGCTGCAGGGAGCCTCACAAGAGTCCACTTGGGTTCAGTGAAAAAGGCAGGTCATTTTTCTTGAGGCAGTAGGAAGAGTGGGAGGATGGCAGCAGAGCCACCTGGCTACAAGGTGGGATGAGGAGCTGGGAGCACTGAAAAATCCTTGTTTTGACATGGACAGTGCTGGGAAGACTTCTGGGATGGTTCAGTTTTGCATCTTGGCTCCTCTGGTCCTGTGGCATCCCTGGCATGGCTGCACACCATGCCAGTGCATGTGGCTGTAAGGTCCTGGATCCTGGTGATCACTTCGGTGATTTCCACAACTTTCCTGCACCTCAGTTCAGTGTTACCAGCCCAATGCCAGCTTGCTCACCTTAGTGTTCTCTAAATTTGGGATGTTGTTTTTTTAAGCTGGGAATTTAGGATGTTACCTGCATTCTGTACCTGTGGGCTGCTTCTCAACATTGCTCTCTTTCCTTTGTTTCTCCTTCTCAGTGTTTAACAGCTTGCCTTTTCAAAACTTCCATGGTGCTGGACTGATTTTTGGTTTGTCATCTTGGGGTCCGCTCAGTGAAGCTCTCAGCCACCAAAGGTCAGGCACGCCACAGAAATGCCTATTAATAGGTCTCAGGTGCTGGTTGTGTCTAAACCGGCATTTCTTGGAAAGAGAAAGATTTCTTGGAGACCGGTGGCTCTCTGAACTACTGTAAAGGCGCAGTGCCAGGCTGCCATCCATAGGGTGTCCCTATGCAACCACACCTCCTGCAAATGGGGCCACGGGGTGCAGGGGGACAGTTTAGGGAAGAAGATAGCTGCTTGGCCGCTGCTGCGTGCAGAACGACGGCGCACTCGCTGTTGACACGCTGCGCGCTCCGCCGGTGCCCTGGCACTCGTCTCCTGCAGCCGGTGCCGCCGGCTCCCTGGGGAGCTGGGCAGTGCCAGCATCTTTGTAGGCTCTCCCCTTCCAAGGGGTGTCCGGGGGCCTTTATTCCGGCAAACACAGATGTTTAAAATAGGATTTCAGCCGGCCTAAGTGACGCCGGCTCTATGTATAGTCCGCGCCTGGAGCCGTGCAAGTGAAGACTATCTCGGAAAATCCGTAGGACCTGGGCCCGTCCCGGGATGTGCAGGGCCAGCTCCCCCGCGGTGGCCGGACCGGCTGCCCTGTGCCGCGGGGGCTGCGGGGGGAGCCGAGCCCGGCCCGACCCCTCCGCCCCCCGGCGGCGATGCCCGCCCGGGCCGGGAGCCGGCGCGCCTGGCGGAGGAGGGGACGAGAGAGGAGGGGAGGGCAAGGAGGGGAGGGAGGGCAGGGCGTGGGCGGCCGCTGTCCCCCCGTCCCCGCCGGCACGTGCCTGCCCGCCCCCGCGGGCCACTGCCGCGCCCCGACGGCCCCGGCATGGACGCGCCCGGCCAGCGGCCCGCCGGCCCCCGAGCCGGCCCGGAGGGCGCGGATGCGGAGCGGGACCCGAGCACAAACCCGAGCCCGAACCCCGGCCCGGAGGCGCCCATCGAGGAGGAGAGGGAGGCGGCGTACGTGGAGATCCGCGGCTCGCCGCAGGGGCCGGAGGAGAGCCGCCAGAAGCCCGAGCTGGCCCCGGCCGGCGGCGCGGAGGGAGCGTCCGGTCCCGCACCGGACAGCGGAGCCTGTGGGACCGGGGATGGCGACTCGGCGAACGGTGGACCCCCGGGAGAAAAAGCGGAGCCAGCATCCTTGGACCACGGGCGGGATCGCCCTCCTTCCCCGGCGGCGGCGGAATGCGGCGCTGACACCGGCCCCGGCTCCGTGGGAGCGGCGCGGAGCGGCGGGACGCCGGAGGCGGGGGGCTGCCCGGAGTCCTCCTCCTCCTCCTGCCCTTCGCCCGTGATCAAGGCGGACGACTTTCCCGCAATGGGCGACCCGGTGTCGACGGAGGGCAAAACCTCCTCGTCGTCCTTCGGCTACGAGAGCGAAGTGGAGGATGAGGTCGCGGGGCGCAAGGCGACTCCCCCCGGCGCCCCCCCGGGCACCCCTCCCGGCGGCGGCCGCGACGAGGCGCACTATATCAGCACGCAGGAGATCCAGCTCAGCGAGGTGGACCACGACATGGACTTCGACGCGGGGCTGGCCGCCCGCTGGGACTTCGAGGATAACAACGTGATCTACTCCTTCGTTGACTACGCCTCCTTCGGGAGCGACGAGACCCCGGGAGACACGCTGACGGAGGAGGAGGAGAATAGCTGCTACCTTAGCACGACCACCAGCGACCCCAACAACCAGACGGACAGCATCGACAACACCAGCAGCACCGAGATCGTCAGCCTTACCTCCGAACACGACACCCCCGGCGGGGACAAGCGCGCCAGCTCGGGGGAAAGCCGGTCCAAGCAGCCCGGCCGCCCCGGCGGGAGCCCGGGCGCCCAGCTTCTCCTATCAATCAAAGCCGCTTCCCGGGCTATAAATGAGTCTAGCAACGTGCACGGAAAGCAAAACACTGTTTACGCTGCCAAGCATGAAGGCGACATGAGTCTCCGTGTCGCCGCGGCTCCCGACCGCAGTGCGAGTTTAAAACAGGATGCGGTCCGCGACCACGCGAAAAAGTTCATCGCGGTGCCGGCGCGGCTGCAGACGCGGTGCGGGGCCGCCAGGGCAGGGGAGCACTCGAGCGGCGCCTCCAGCGCCGTCAGCGAGCTGGACGATGCCGACAAAGAGGTGCGAAACCTTACGGCCAGGGCTTTCCGCAGCCTGGCGTACCCCTATTTCGACACCCTGCGCCCCGGCTCCCGCGCCTCCTCCGCCTCCCTGTCCGACAATGCCCTGGGCATCAACCGCTGGTCCACCTACCTGGACCTCAAGTGCGGCAGCCTGGGGCCGAGAGCCGAGCCCAGCCTGCTGCACTCCGGCCGCTCGCAGACCAAAGCCCTCGAGTTCGTGGTCAGCAAGCTCGACGGGGAGATCGCCCACGTGGAAACGCCGCGGCGGCTGCGGGCGGGCTCCCGGGTGGTGACCCTGCTGGACCTCGGCGATGCCGCCGAGGCCGGGGAGCCGCCGGCGGCGGAGGGCGGCGGGAAGGGGTCCAGCAAGAAGTCCAGGTTCGCCTCCAGCCTCCTCAAAAACGTCATCTCCAAGAAGATGCAGTTGGAGCACGAGTTCAAGATGGAGCGGGGCGAGATCACCGACACCTCCTACACCGGGCCGGGCGCGGGCCGGGAGCCTGAACCCACCGGCGGCAGCGCCGGCCGGGAGCGGCATCGGGAGGCTGGCGTGCAGCGGCAGAACTCCCGGCACTCGGAGGGCGGCTCGGACTGCACCGCGGCGCCGGCGGAGGATGCGGGCGAGGGCGGCGGGGGCCGCTCCCCGGCCTCCAAGGCGTCGACGCCCCGCGAGGGGAACCGCAGCCTGGACCGGGCGGTGTCGGAGGAGCTGTGCGAAGTGAAGCGCAGCGCCTCGGAGGCCATCAAGGCCACCTTCCTCCGCAGCCAGAACAGCGCCTTCAGGTCCTGGAAGGAGCGGGAGGCGGAAAAGAAGGAGGAGAGGGCGCCCGTCGGTAAGCTGAAACTTTCTCCCAAGAACGACTGGCGAGCCGACCTGGGCGAGATCTCTGCCGGCAAGTCTACCAAGATGTCCCGCCTGTTCGTCCCCGCCATTCAGCACACCCCTCGGGAGAAGGATCCCGGCAAAAGGGCGACCAAGTGCTCCGCCGCGGCCGCCGCCGTGTCCTCGGCCGCCGCCGCCTCCTCGCCCCCCGCCGCCAAGCCCAAAGCCCCCGAGATCAAGATCAGCCTGGGCAGCCTGCAGCAGCCCCGGGACGCCGCTTTCAGCATCGCCCAGCTGCTGACGCCGCAGATCGCAGGCCGACCGCCGGAGGAGGGCAGGGGGCAGCCGCTCAAGCCTCTCAAGGCCGGCGACGGCCCCGACAAAGTGCCACAGTTCCTGGTGCGCGACGTGAGGGACAGCAAGTACAGAGCCCAGGGAATCCTCCACCAGGTGCGGGACGTGCGGAAGCTCATCAAAAGCTCCTACAGCGCTGACTCGGGAGATAACAGCAGCGACAAGGGCAGCGGCGCCTCCGAGCAAGGCGGCCCGGAGCAGAAGCCCCGGCAGCAGCTGGTCATCGCCGGTGTCCCCCGGTCGCTCTCCCCCGTGGTCATCACCTGCCAGGCGGTCGGTCACACCGGCACCAAGCCCACCGAGGCGGGGGCCAAGGCGGCGGGCAGGGCGCCCGCCTGCCCCCCGGAGGGCACGGTGCTGGTGCACCGCACCTCGGGCAGGCTGCCAGTAGCCACCATCGCCCCCAACAAGAGCGATGCTCGCCAGCCGGCTGTGCTCAAGATCGTTTCCAAATCCTCCGCGCCCTGGCGGCACCAGCCGCCGCCGCCGCCGCCCCCCGAGAGGGGCCGGGGACCGGAGGAGGACCCGAGGGAGGAGAGCAAGGCAGCGCCGGTGCAGAACGCGCTGGAGAAGCTGACGGCGGCGGTGCGGAGCATGGAGGAGCTCTACAGCTTCAACAAGCGCGAGTGGAAGCGCAAGAGCGACCCTCTGCCCATCACCGACAGCCACGTCCTCTCCCTTATCGCCAGCCAGGAGCGGGGCGCCGGCTCCCGACCCGCCGCCGCCGCCGCTGCCGCTCCGCCCCCGCCGCCGGACAAGGCGGAGGAGCCGTCGGGCAAGGGCCCGAGCAGCGAGCGGCTGCCCCGCCGCCCCTCCAACAGCGCCGCCGACAAGGTCTCGGCCAAGGCGGCCGCCTTCGAGAGCCTGGCCCGGCAGCGGCAGCGCGGCCCGCCGCCGCCCCGCGCCGCGCCCCGCCGCCCGCCGAGGGTCCGCCCGCCGCCCTGTACCGCCCGCCGCTGCCCTTCGCCGCCCTGCCCGGCGCCGCGCCGCCGCCGCTGCTCTGCTTCTCGCCCTCCGTGCCCGCCGCGGCCACAGCGACCGAGCCCTTCCCGCAGACGCAGCGCAAGGTGCTGCTGGACGTGAGCACCGGGCAGTACTACCTGGTGGACACGCCTGTGCAGCAGCCCCTCAAGCGGCGCCTCTTCGACCCCGAGACCGGGCAGTACGTGGAGGTGCCGGTGCCCCAGCAGCCGGCCGTGGCTCCCGTCCCGCTGCCTCTCTCGCCCCTTGCTCTCAACGCCGGTGCCTATGGCACCACGTACATGCTCTACCCCGGGCTCCTGCCCGCCGCCACCGTGCTGCCCGCCGGCGCCCTGCAGCGCCCGCTGTCCCACTCGGGCAGCGACGGCAGCGCCCCGGCAGAGCCGGGCAGCCCCGCCGCGCCAGAGGCAGCTTTTGCCGAGAGCCCCTACTACGTGGCTACCAGCAAGGGCCCGCCGCCGCCGCGGCACGGGGCAGCCGAGGCCAAGCCGGTCATCAGCATCACGGCGCCGGCCACCGGCCCGCGGATCGTCGCGCCGCCCTCCTTCGACGGCACCACCATGCGCTTCGTGGTGGAGCACCGGTGAAGAGCGCGGGTGAGTGCGTGTGTGCTGCCTGTGGGGCCCGGCAGTCACCCGTGATGGGTCAGGGCAGAGCGGGTTAATGCGCAAATGACGGCAGCGCCGCGGCTTCTCCTCAGGGGAGAAAGGGTCCACGGGGGCCCTCACTAGGGTGTAAAATACAGAAAGGTTAGGCACACCCCTCCGTGCAGTTCAGTAGTCCTTGGAGCTTCTTTTTTTGGCAGTTTCAGAGAAGCACACCGTAGCCACTCATCACACAACCTGTATTTGTGCAACCCCATGGCTGGGGCACCTCCCATTGCTCCCGGGAATGGCAGTGTGGTTGGGCATCTCTAGATTCATATCTGGACTCATCTTGCAAGCCATGAAAGAGCCCCTTCACCTTGGCATCACATCTTCCTCTTGTCTCACCTCTCACCTCTTCCTCCCAAGGGGAGGTGAGCACCTCTCTCTTTCCCCTGTACCTGTTTCTCCCCAACCTCAAGAAGAGCGGGAGAGGGGTCTGATGGAAGCAAACCCTTATTTTGGGTCCTTCTTGTTAGTGGGGTGAGGGAGCAGGATGCATGGAGCAGTCCCAGGTGCGCTCTCTGGGAGCCGTGGGGCTGCTGGCAGGGGCAGAGGTGCCCACAGCTGCCTGTGCTGTGCTGTGCTGCAGGAGGGCTCCCCGGGGCTCTGCTGCAAAGCACAGTTTTACACTGCACCTCTGAGCTTGTAGTGCCAGAGTCCTGACAGTGTCCAGCTACCTGGGGCTGTACCCAGGGCCAGCCTCCAAACTCAGGGGTGTGCATGCAGGGACACTGAGCTGTCCTTTCAGCGTGCACTGAAACTGGTGTGGTGCAGTATGTCCTGTGCAAAATAACCAAGGAACATTTCATGTTAAAAGACCTAAAATATTGCAGAAGTGCCTTCAGGACTGATGTCACTGCTCCTTCTGCCTCTTGCATTAGAATGCATGGCTCATCTTTATCACGTGCAGTATTAGGTAGAGCTGCCAAATCTTTTGTGGCTTACCAAGAATTCACAGAGTTGGTTTTTTGGTGTGTATGAAAAGGCAGAGAGAAAGAGTGGAAGAGTGGCAACAGCCAGAAGTTTGGGTTTGTCACCAGTTTGTGCTGAGCTTTGCCCCGTTGCATGCTTGAGGGTAAATTTTGTCTTCCAGCACTTGCGTTATTTATTTTGCTTTAATTTTTTTTGTTTGCATCACCTACTACACAGTAGATTATTTGTGGAATGAAACCTTATCAATGTGATTTATACACTTACTTCTCTGTTTGTAATTATTTTATCTTGAAAGTTCCTTTCTTTTATCCTGGCTGTGGATGAAGTTGTTTTCATGGCCCTTATGGGTCACTCAGGACAGGCAACGTGCCAGTTTAACTTGAGCTCTGCTGTGCTGCTTGAGTTCATCTTGCCAGTAAAGTCAGAGAACCTAGATGAAATGGCAGAAAGTAGTTAATTATTTTCCCTTTGGTCTGGAGGCTGAATTGAAATGGCTTGCAGAAGGGATTTGTTAGATTTCAGATGAGAGATTTGACATTTTTTTAAAGGTGGGGTATATAGTAGATGCATTTGTAACACTAAACAAAAACCTCCAGCTTTTCTTGTGTCTTTTTCACTCTTTAAAAGTGAAAAACATATTTCCTGGTGTGCCCTGTCCCTCAGTTCCCAAAGGATTGTCCTGTTATCATGTACTTAGCTTGCCTTCAGTGCCTGGTGAGGCAGGTGATGCTCTCACCAAATTGCTCTTTCTCACAGGTGGAGTTAAAACAGCAGCCCTGCTTTGTTGTGCTGTGTCAGAGCTCTACCATGGCAGAGCTGTGTGAAAGCTGCCCCAAAAGACTGGTGGTGCATGCTCAGTGCAGAAGGTCATTCAGCAGGGTGCAGACTTGAGTTTCATTTGCCATCCTTTCAGCCTTGGATCATGCCAAGGCATTTGCTGTCTCATACAGACAGGGATGTCTGGGCTGTCCCAGACCTGCTGAGGGAGGTGTCCTGCTGCTGGACAATGGATGCACTTTTTTCCCTCGACCTGTTCTGACAGTCTTAAAAGAAATAATTTTAACTGCATGGTGCAGGATGTGTTTAACTTGTCATTAGACTTTAGTTATTCCTGTATCTTATCTCTCTGTGGAAAATGAGTTATATGCCAGAAGGGCATCACATCTGTAGCCTTCTTCTTCCTGTTATTTTCATTCACCTACATGACTTTCGTGTCCCTGTGGATAATTTTTCCTCTTCTTCTCTCTTTTATTATCTGTTTTATCTTTTGTTTTCCATTCTTTTCCACTATCTGTTGGCATTCCATTCCTGATGAAAAGCATTTGTTTCCTCAGTGTTTTTCCCCTAACAAGAACAGCAGTAAAATTTCATGTGAATCTCAGGGTGAACTGTTGCGGACATTTTTTAATTCCAGTTAATTGCTTTCACACCAGACCAGGGTTTTTTGATTGCAGCAATGCTGTGCAGATGCTAAAATGGATTTTAAAGCAGCCAGATTTCATCCTTTGAGTGTGAGAGTTGGATAACGTACTGTCCTTTCAGGTCCCTTTTTTTGCTAGGCAAAATGAGCTGAATGGATGCTCTTTTTCTCCACTCCTGAATTCCTTTCTGCACTGCACATACTCTCTTCTTCATTTCTTTGCCCAATTTCTTTCACATCTTCATTCACAAACTGTATCACTGTGTAAAGGACTGCTCCATCTTGGTCTCTGTCACCTGTGGGGGGTCAGTGTGACTTGAAGTTTTGCTGATGGTGTGATGCCTGTGGTGGATTGACACCGAATCCCCTGCACATCTGCTGCTCTTCCACCTCTTCCCTTTGTATCTTGTGCTCTTTTCTGCATAATCATTGGGATGAAATGGATCCCATCAGTTTGTGTTCCGACAAAATCCAAGCCGCCATTTCTGAACTATTCTTAAGTTTTTGATATGCAGAAAATAGTGGAAAATAGGTGCATATTTCTGAGCAATATCTTATGGTTGCTTCTCTCCCTCCTCTTCTTCACTCCCAGTAAATGGGGAGCTTTAGCAACATCATCCTTGGCTGCTGCACTTCTTCCTTGAAGCTAATTTTCAGTTCAAATAAACTTGCATCCAAGCCTAGACAGAAGCAGCCTGTAGAGAGTGAACTGCCTGACAGGAGCTCATTCCCAGTAGGAGTGAATGAAAATGTGTCTTTAACTTTTGTTTCTCTTCCCATATTTTACTCTCTGGAGTTTCTGCCTCTTGTTAGGTAAATAAATGAGAAAAGAAAAGGTAGCAAAGTAGAAAGCAACTGTAGTAAACTGTACTGCCAATATTGGAAAGGTATTTTTTTATTGTTCTGTTTAAACCATGAGCATAAACACCTTACAGGTACAGGAATACATAAGCAAATATACTTATCAGTTGTGTTTTCTTCTTAACTGCTATCACATAATCTATGCTTTCCTTTGAAAATTAATTTTGTGTGGATAGTATATAAAAATAGTTTTAAAGCCTCATAAATTGGTATTTTTACACTTTGTTTTAGTTGTTCCCTGTTCATGAGGATGTATGTTCCTCATTACTAAGTCAAGAAGTCAGCTTACAGCATAATATGCAGCACATAGGACTTACTTATGCTGATGCCTTTGCTGAGAATTTAGTAAAGAATTTATCCAGTTTTAGTGGGAAGTACTGGAATATTCCAAGAACCAAACAGGCTCTAACACTTGATCTAGTAAATCAGTCTACAAATGGATATAGGTGTGGCCTTGTGCTCGAAACTGTGGCTACTTAGGAAACATTTCAGTCATGCTGAGCCTTGGTACCAGTAAAAGTTCCTGGTGGCCTTAATGACTCCTCCTGCCCAGAGTGATTTCCTGAGCCAGTATTTAAGAGTTAACTGCACAAATCTTAGAGCACGTGGGTGTGGGTTGTTTCCCTTTTCCTGATGTGTTCCATGCTGGATGCTGTACTGGTGAGGAGAGCGCCCAGGTCTTGAACAGCGCGGGTGGATCGCTGAGATCCCGCATAGGTCACGTTGGCCTCTCTCCACCTGTGTCCCTGGGGCTCCCCAGGACCTGTCTGCTGGGAGCCTGGGGTTGGGAGGCACAGCACATTCCACACCTTGAGCAGCAAGGATGGGATCTGCTCTAAACACCAGGGCTGCCCAGCAACTGGCTCGGTTTGCAAACCTGGGTGCCCTTGGCTGATGGCTGGCAGTAGCGTAGGAAATGAGGAGCAGGAACAGTGTGACGACAAAGGAGGTATTTATGAACTTCTCCAGAGGAGTAAACATTGTTCAGATTCTTGTGGCAGTGCTCTAACAATCTATATTAATGATGCTTTTCTGGTTTTGTTTTTTTTTCCACAGGGATAAGGAAGAAGAATTGTGCTTCTTTAATTTGAAATACACTTGGTAACTCTTCAACATTAATCCTAAAAACTGCTTCTACAGTTTTCTCAATTTTTTTGCTTCATCATACAAAACAAGCATGTAAGTTTCTTGTTTTCTCCTAAATGCCCCCCTGTTTTGGAGTATGCCTACATTTAATTATGTGAGCAGCACTAAATTACTGCATTATTCTGTGCAAAGTTCTTTTTGTACTGAAGCCGATCTGCAGGCTTTAGGCATTGCCTCTGTGCTGGTAGCTAATGGTAGTGATGCCACTACAGCTGTTTGTAAAATGCAGGGTGTAAATGCAGCAGTGTTTCAGTGTGGATCACCACACAGCTTCATTCAGGTCCCTGGAATGTGTTGTGATGATCCAGTGCAGCCCTGCAGCTCTTCAAAAATGAAATTAAGCCCTCAGTTCTCTCCTATTGCAGTAAATGAGGGTCTTCCATACAGGTTTTAGTCACAATTTGCAATCAGATGGGTTTTTGTACTCTCTGCTTCTCACTTGGAATTGCAAAGGAAGAGAGCTGTAGTGTTAAATTTATCCTTAGTGTTTATTTTTGCTATGGTTCAAAACAAACTGTGTAAGTGTCAGAAAACACATTTGATTGCTTTCATTTTTTGTTTGCTCCTCTGTACTGTGTTGAATATCACAAGTTGCCTTAATTAGGACAGAGTTTAAATACTGGGAAACCAGAAATTGAATGTAATATTTTAAAATCCTGGTTCTAAAGGTGAGAAAAGCATTTTTTTTCTTTTAAGACCGCAGTCTGTTCTTCCTTAAATTGCAACATTGTTGAAAACATAATCCTAGTCACTGCCCTGTGAGATTCATTTTTAAATGTTACAGCCTCAATACTAAGGAGTTGTTTCTTTAGCTGTTTGACAGGTTCATCTGAGGGCTAAAATTACAATTTTCTAAGAAAATACTTACCTTTTGAACAAAAAATATGCAATACGATTACTGACAGTGCAGTGATTTATATGTCCAACTCTGCTCAAACTGATTGTTTTGTTACCAGCAACTAGTTTGTCTCAGCCAAAGAGAATTGTTATTATGACAGTAAAACTGAAGTTCAATAGTCTGTTCCCTGCCCAAAATTTTGGTTTTGGGAAGCAAAGAAATGTGAGACCAAACCTAAATGATATAACATAAAGCTATCTTGAGGTAACAGATTAGAATTTTGAAGTCTAAATGCAAACCCCAAAAGTCTTTATTTAAGCATTTGCCCACAGGCAGGATTTTTCTCCACCTGTTCTCAAGGCTTCCTGCAGTTAGGAAAGTTTCCCATTTTTAAAATAAGCCCTGGGTTTTCATTTTCCTGAGTAACTCACGAGGTACAGAAAACTCAGGTAGAACTGTCTTTAAGCAAGTGTGTGAGATTGTATCTCAATGCAATTTATTTGTTTACAGGCACAAATTGTAATTGCCCTCAGGATGAAATGCACTGCAAGTGTGCAGATAGCGAGTGATTTCTCATGTACCTTCTCACTCATTTTCACCCTTGTGGAAATCCAGTGACTATTCCAGCCCTTTCTGAAGAGCTTGGTGTGCCCAGCTAGAGCACAGCTCGTGTGAGGCTCATCCCTGTGCTCCTCAGCGGTACAGCCTGCATCACAAGCTCTAACTGCCCCCTGGGATGGGGCTGACTGCCTCTTAGAGGAGAGGAATGCTTCTCCACCTTTCTCCTGACTGATAGGTGTTGTGATTAGAGCATCCGTGTTAGACAGAACCGTACTTGGGACTGCAGGACAGTGCAGGTACCAGAGTGGATGGCTCCCTGTGACATACACGTTCAGTATAATACTAGCATCCCTGTTCCACAGTGTTCCTGTCCTACCTTTTCCTATATCGGTGCTCGGAGCGGAGTTTCCCGTTGCAGTTTACAAGATATAGGTTTGCACACACAACCTCAGGTTTACAGTTTCACCCGGTGTACTTGAAAGGAAAAAAAAAAAAAGCATAGAAAACAACTGCCCAGGATTTGAACATGTGTTTGTTGGAGGTAAATTTTGCAGGGTTTTATTTTTCACTGCCTGTGGAGATGAAAGCAATGAAATGAGGGAATACCAACAGCTATTTATTTTCTCAGGGGCGTTTACTTCAGTGAAATGTGTCAATCCTAATGTCAAACAGTGTTTACTTGATTTTGTCTCTTACTAAAAAGACTTCTTGTTTGCATCAAGGGGTCAGTTTTGCAAGGTGCTTCGCTTCGCTAACCCAGCAAAGCCTTCACATGCATCTCCAACTTCAGACACTTAAGCAGACTCCTGGGGACTTCAGTGGAAGGATTTTTTCCTCCACCCATCTATGCAAAGCTTTGCTGAACTCATCCCAGAGTGCCGAATGCCTTGCAGACCTGAGCACCAGGTTCTTCTCTTTGCAGAACCCGATCTCTGGGCTTGAGTCAAGCCGGACCCAGCAGATAATGCCACAAAAGGTCACCAGAAAAAAGCTCTGGTAATATGGTGCTCCTCCCTGTATACCCAGCGGTGAATTTCTCCAGTGCATGGGGTGATGTGTAACCACATATCTTGGATTAGAGTCAAACCCTCCATGTCAGGGCTCACAAGCTGCTAGTATTATATGTTTCACGGTGCAGTCATAGTATGTTACAGCTGAAATTCACCCCATGTGCAAAGCAGGGCAAAATCCTGTGCACCACTCAAGTTCCCTCCCGCTCCTGCTCTCAGGCTTTTGAGGGCTGCACCAGCCTACTGTCCATGCATTTTAGGTCAGGATTCAGTTAAAAGTTTGAGGGAGACTGGAGTGATGCACCAGAATGTTGTTCTGGTCTTTTGCAACAGGGTTGGTTTCACTCAGTATCAAATTCAGCTCTTGGTGAATCAACTGGTGAATGATTTGAAATGTATTTATGGGTTGTGTGGGGTGTTTTCCCCCCTTGTCTGTACTCAGTGCTACCTTGATTCTTTAGTGTTGATGGCCAAAGTGTCATTCCTTATGCTTATATATTGCCATTAACTTGTGGCTACCTGAGAACACATACTTCAAAAATGCTTGTGCTTTTTTTCACCTATTTCTTTTTTTTTTTGTATTTCTTCTTTTTTCCCCCCTCCCCGCCCCTTTATTTTTCCTCTCATTTTTAAAGGGGTGGTCAGTTTTCAGTGTAAAGCTATTTAAAAGTGCAAATGTGAAGTAAGGATAATGATTGTTAAGAGGATGTGGGTGGTATGTCTGATGAGAGAGGGGTGGGCTGTAAGGCAAGGGGAAAACGCCGTGAACGCATCGTGTTGATGACTGTTGCCTGTGGAGGAAGAATTAAGAAACAGAAGATGTCTAACTGGAGAGAAATGGACTCTTTGAGCTGCTCTCAATGGAGACAACACTGTGGCAAGTGTGTAGCTGAAACCCAGAGTGATCCCACTGCAGGGTGCCGCGGGCCTGGGATTGAAGGACGCGGCGTCGCTCTGGGAATTGCAGTGGGAGCACTTCGGGGCGTCACAGCCACGTGAGAACAGAGCGTCTGGAACTGCCAAGTACCAAAGTTTGTAACTGAATGAGTTGGCATTTGTATTATGTTGGGGTTTGTTTTTGTTTTTGTTTTTTCTCTTGAATGTTATGATAAATAAAATGTATTTTTCAGTAAAAGACACACTGCAAGTAAGCCTGCAGTCCTGCTTGGTTGTATATTTGCAAAGTTACCTTGGCTGTTGTGCAGAACAAGTGAAAACAGAGGCACTACTTGGTTTAACATGTAAACAGCAACAGGAGAAAGGATTACACCAGAGAGCACATCAAAAACCCTGCACTCAGAGTCTCCCTGAGTTTGTCCCCACACTGAAAATCTCTTTCTGGCCTGATCTCTCTTTATTCTTTCCTCTTATGACAAAGGGAAGTTGGCATTGCTTATTTTCTTACCCAAGTATAATTTAAGAAAGAACTCCCCAGTTTCATTGAACTGTCTTTGACTGGTGAATGGGTTTGGGTATCCAAAGAACTGCATCTTTGTCTGTTGTAATGTGTTCAGAGAGAGCAGTTGGTGGGGTGAATAACTTTTTTATGCCCACTCTCTATGTTATCTTCACTGCCTAACATTGCAATACAAGCAAAGATAAGATGAGTTTATTAGTGGATAGCATTGTTGCTTGAACAATTACTGGGAAAAAGTCTTTTGCTGCTTTAGTGTGTTTCTTCTGTCTTCATGGAGATTGAAAAGGTTTCTGTTGTTAAGTCCAAGTGTTTAAAAAAGCATGAGTTAAACACCAAAAAAATCCCCAAACAGACTTGAAAACAAAAGTATTACTTTTGCAGTTTAAAAGAACACTTTTGCTTAAAGGAAAACTGAAGCAAGTTGGGTTACCAGGAGATAAAGGGTGACCAAAACAGACAAAAAATAATAGTGGGTGTGTAGAGCAGAGAGAAAGACCTTGGATCACTTTATTAAAATCAGAGAGGTCTGAAATTGCAAAGGGACCTGCAGCTGTGAACTGGAAAATTTGGGAACTCTTCTTTTCTTGAAGGAGAACTCCTGGAGCCTGATTTCAGTGGAGCTCTGTTGTAAGATTTTCACAGCACTGCTGGTTTCTCACAATAGATGGAAAATTGAAGCTGAAACCTCCACAAAAGAGAGGTGAAAAGCAAATAAATTGAGAGACATGAACTTGAACCTTTCCTTAAGAAGCCCAGTAATGCAATCAGTGTTTGTCCAGCCACAAAGTGCCTCACACCACACAAATCCACTGAAATTAAAGTATGAGGATTTTTTATGATACTTTAAATAAACTGAAAAGTGGAATATGTCTGGGATTTTCAAGGATTGTTGGAGAAAATCTTGTAAGTTTCTACATAGCCGTTAAAATATCACTGGTAGGAGTGATGGTAAAAGTGCAACTGTATTGTGAAAAGGAGTAGGAACAAAGTAAAAATGAGAAGCAGATAATTCCCTGATTAAAACTTAGTCAGATCTAAACAAGCGATCCAAACATAGAACATAATTAAAAAAAAAAAAAAAAAAAAAAAAAAACCAAAAAAACACCACCCCAACCAAAAAAAAGGCACCTAGGCCTTTATTATTAAAATTGCTGACCCCTAGGCTTGTTGCTATTGAGAACTTGTAATCTTCCTGCCAAACCCAAACTCTATCCCTATATATATGAATATTTTTTAAGAGTAGATGAAAAACACTAAAAATTAGCAATCCTGGAAACCTGTAGGGGAAAGTTTCCAAGTCTCTATTGCTCTATTGCAAGTGGCTTGATTTTTGGATTTACCTGGATTATCATTGCACTATTCCTTCTGTGGTTTCCAATTAGAAAGGACCAAGCATTTGTTTGCTTCTCTGAACTTCATGTTTTAATTATTGTTTAATTGCTACTGCTGCTGGTTACTTAAAAGTAGATGTAATACCATTATTAAATACATATTTTACATCTTGATTAACCCCCACTGATTGGATTAACAGAGCATTTGCTTTGTTTGTAACCCTAAATGTGTTTTCCCTTCAAATGCAGGCTTGAGCAATGTATTAATTTCACCTTATTTTTAGAAGTTTGTTACTTTTGTTGTTTCTGTAGCTATGGAGCCCAAGTAAGGAAGCCATGGCCTTCCATTACCCAGCTGCTGGACTAAACCTCTCCTGGAATCCCCATTATGTCCAGCTGTTGGGGTCAGATGGCTTCAGAAGCATCTGCTGCCATGCCAGGGGGTATCCATGAAGACATGTATCCCTCCTGAAGGAGCAGTGTGGGTCTCAGGGGCTTGTTAAAGGGTTTAAGCTGTGGGAGGTCCAACTGCCCTTACAGGCTGGTTCTTCCATTTGACACAACTGAGAAGGGGTAAGCCTTGCTGGTAAGGTGTAAGGATTGCTGGCACCAGACAAAGATGTTACAGATATAAATTGCATTATCTAGAACCTTTTTATTCTGATTTTGGGTTGTAAATTGATAGGCAAGCCTGGCAGAGTGGGGCTGAGGTGTCGTCTGTTGATATCTTGACTCTTTCCAAGTAAATGAGTGTTGGCAGATATTTCATTATCCACCTTCTGTGTTTAGGGTGTCAGGTCACCTCAGGAGGAAACTGCCTCTTGCTGGCATGTGAGTAAGTATCTCTACTTTTATTTTTGTTTTGTGTGACACAAAGAGCAAGTATTAATAACAAATGAAAAGCTTGTCTTCAGCTTGTTCCTGAAGCAGCAGTGGAGGCATCAGAGTGTCTGCAGCAGGGAGCAGACTGTGAGTGGATGCTGAGGGCAGTACTGACCCTGAGGAGCAGTGCCTGGGTCTTTCCTCTGGGCAGAGGGCTGGGGCAGGCACCTCCAGCCCACGGTGCATCCTCATCTGAGCAGGAGGTCTCCTGATTAGAGGGAGCCTGGGATGTGAGTGCCAGTTTAAGTTATTGCTTCATATTGTGAAGGTGAGTAAAATGGTTCCTCTTACCCCAATCAACAGCATTCCTTCCCCAATGAGACGCTTTCCCTACCCAGAAATAACAGACAATAAGACTGGAAACAATTTCTTCACACTGTATTTTTAACCTGTTTTATTTAGGCTTTGACTAGAAATGTGCCAGCATTTTCAGGAAAGACAACAAGTAGACCATTTCATCCCACTGACAGTTTGATTTTTGCAGATTTCTGCACTCTTGGTTTTTTACAACACAAAAGAGTTTGGATTTTTTTCTTAATCTTGTAATCAATTTTTTTCATGACAATTTATGAGTTTTTCCTGCCTGCTTTTAGGTTTGGGTTTTTTTAAAATAATCAATTCTTCTTGGCTTTTTATTTTGCTTTTTTTTTTTTTTTAAAAAAAAAATTTTTTTTTTTTTTTGTCAACAGCATTTGCCCACCTTGTTCTATAAGAATTAAATCAGATGGATCAGAGGTCAGCTGAGCTGGGATGGGGTATATTCTTTTTTAATCTGTAATGCTGATGTAAAACTTTTTTTTTTTTTTTTCCCACAGATCCTATGAAGACACTGCTTGAAGTGTCTAAGTAATTTTAATCAGAGGACTTCTCTGAGTAGTGATTATAATTTGCATTGAAATACAAGCCTACCTTACCTAGAAGAAAATGTTCTGGCCCAGCACAAGCTTTGCCAGACTGTGCATGCAAAATCTATTTCTTTCAAGATCCTTTCCTTCTTCATAGTTCAGAATTGCCTTACTGCATTCTCATTTTTTGAAATGCCCCTGCCTTGATTACACACAGGGACACAAATTTTTAGGAGGCAGCCTTGATGAGCTGCCAGTATTGGCTTAACTCTGCTCCTGCTTCTGGTAGCTACAGAAATTACACCATTGATTTCAATGAGAACAGAATTAAGGCAACTGTAAGTTCTTTCTGGAAACATAACCCCACACTGTTAATCAATTGTATTTAACTACAGCAGTTAATAAAAAAAAACTCCAAAAGATAAATAATAATAATCAAGTTCTGCCTGCTTAAAAAAAAACCCACAAAATCCTTTAAAATCATGTCAAATAACACCTGCTTTTTTGTAAACAGGCAATACTGAGTAAGCAGGAATTCATGGTCCTATCTGGATGTTAATTGTACTTGGATATTTGAATGGGGTTAGGTCATAGGCCTAAAACACCCAAATACTTTAAAATACCTTTATAAATAATCATTCTTTATACATCATAATTGTTCTTCCCACACATCAAAAACACAGACTTCTGTATTCCCCAAGAAAAAAAAAATGAAGGGTTACTTTTGCTTTTGGCCACAAGAATGTGAAAATGAAGAACAAGCACCACCCTTACGGGAGTGCACGAAATGCTACCAAATTGGTCTTTATTTGCCTTAGGGCTTTTTTTTTACAAAAGTTTTAAATATAGTTTGATATGTAAACACTGTGCACGCACTGAGAGCTTGATCCCGGCCCGTTGAAATCAATGGCAAATTTCCCATTAAGTGCAGCAGTGCAAGGTCAAGCTCCACGTTGGTAAGGTGTGTGCAGGCCTAAGTCATTGAGGGACTCAGGAAAGCAGGAGCCCAGGTGCTGCTTTCAAAACCAGCTGCCAGCAGAGTCAGACTTTGAGCCGAACACCTTCTTGCACATGTTGGAGTTTTCCTGGTGGAGAGGGTATTCATTCCCTGCCAGCGTGGCTGCCTTCTCCCTCCTGGCGGTGTAGCGCCTGCCGGAGGGCAGGCTCTCGTACCTGGTCATGTGAGTCCTGCAAAGACACCGCAGCGCGCTCTGGCATCAGCAGCTCTGCGCAGAGCTTGCACCCCGTTACAAACACCTTGCGCACAGCCTGGCGGCCCTTCCCCAGTGAGCAGATGTTCTAGTAGCTGCAGAATAGCAGACATTGTTTTCGTAGGATTTCCTGAAGGTTCTCAAAGTCCTTAAATCCTCTCAGGTTTTTAACCATCTCTTGGAAGAGAAAATCCTGGATGGAAATCTGGCACAGGCTCTACAAATGTTATCTTCCTTAGGTCTTAGCAAATAGGGATTAGGAGAGAGCAGTATGCCCAATGAAGCCAATTTAATTACTATTATTTGGCTACTGGAGAGCATCTTTTAAACCTTACTACACAGTTGCTTAGTTTTCAGGAAAACCGGTGCCTTAATAAAGTATGATGGAACACAATGGCTGCAGGAGTACCAGACCAGGTACTTTTGTTGACATGAGTAAATAGCAGATGATGAAGAGAA